GAAGAATTCAAGTCGATCTGATCAAAAACAACGGCGTAATAATTTTTTATCCTTTTTTTTTTGACCTCTTGTATGGGAGCTATCCGATATAGTCGGCCGATCCGGCTCGTTCCGACTTATATACTGCGTGCAATAACTACACATCTCAGTTTCAGCAAGATAGCTTTAAAACTGAGAGACTAGTTTAGGCAGAAACGGACAGGAGGACAGACGGACAGACAGACAGACGGACAGACGGACAGACGGACAGACGGACAGACGTACAGACGTATTTCGACTCAGATCGTGATGCTTATCAAGAATATATATACTTTATGGGGTCTGAGGTGTCTCCTTCACTGCGTTGCAAACTTCTGGCCAAAATTATAATACCCTTTGCTCTGCAAGGGTATAAAAATGCCGTAATATGAAATGTTTATATTATTTATAAATAAAGTTCTTTATAAAGTACGCATATAATAATGTGATAATGTGACATGATTCTGACGCGTGCTGGGAATAAAGTGAGAAGATAAATACTTGCACTTGATAATTCCATAATTTATTTTATAATTTTCTTTATCCAATTAACCACACAGAAAGAATTTAAAGTTGGCATTACTTTTAAAAGATTCTATATTTAAAAAGTTTTTCTTTACATTTCTTTTTATTATTCAAGAAACCTTGTTATATCTAAAACTAAGTGAATATCTTTACTGACGCAAATTTAAGCAGAACAAGTGATTACATGCATTACCTCTTTCATGATAATGAATAGAGAAAGGACTTTAATAACTAGTCTACTAAGTTTCCCTCAAAAGCTCCACTTAATAGCCAGTCATCTAATCCCCCTCATCACCATAATTTACCACCCACTTAGACAAAGCCAAAATCCAACAAAATTCCGGCTTACCCAGCGAAACACGAAAAAAGTTGAACGACAGATACAAAATTAAGTTGCAAACAAAAGACCAAAAAGCCCATGTACTTGTCACCCCCAACTCCCCGGAAAAGGCAACGAAACCCAGGATTGTTGTTGTTTGAACAGGGGGGAGCGAAAAAAAGAGCAACCAGAAGGAAAACCGAGGGGAAAATTGGGGGGAAGGCGAGGAAATCAGCCCGGCACACTTTGCCTTTTCAGCCGCAGGCTAAAAGTCGTCGTCGCTTTCAATTATAGCCGTGAGTTTTCTCTGTCCGGCCAAAACACACACATACACACACACCTATACATTCAGTTGGCAGGAAGCCATAAACACACACACACACTGTTGCAGAAAGGGAACAGTCTACACCCACACACAGCCATTAGCTTAATGTGTGCTTATTGCGCACGCTTTGGAACAGACGCAGGTTGATTTAGGGGGAAAATTCACGGGGATGTAGAAGGGGGGTTGGGAAAATCGCAAACGAAACCCGCAATCCCCAAACCCCCGAAAATCCCCCTCCCCCGAAACCCCAACCGAAATGGATGCTAAGGATATGGCAACCGCAACTTGCCACTTTGTCTGCACAAGAGGGGGGTGGAAAATGCAGGTGGGAGGTGGCGGAAAATCTGGTGGGGGGGATGCCGTAGAGGTGGGGGGACTGTGGGTGCTGTCTGGGCCAACCGCAAACAAACAAACACAAGAGCGCAACAGAGACAGAGAAACCAACGGCAGCCAGAAAAAGAGAGCAAAACAGCATCTGTATCTGTATCTGTATCTGGTTCTCTATCTGTATCTGCATCTGCATCTGTATCTGTATGAGTATCTCCATTTCTGTATACAGATATATATATATAGAGCGAGCTATATATAGTCGAGTGCATAATGAATGCGAAGATGTGCCCGCCCTATTATCCTGACTCCTCCCTCAACTCGAGCTGGCTGTCTGTGTATCTCAAAGATACATAGCCGCATTCTGATAGGAAAAATCGAGGGGTAAATAAGACCATCTCTCTTTGGCTCTCTCTCTCCCTTCCACTCTGGTTCTATCTCCCTCTGTCCTCCGTTCGGCCATCTCCCTCTGTTATCCTTTTACTGTGGCCACTGGCACTGAGGATTCGAATCAGAATCACCAACTTTCAGATAATAATAATGACTGCGAACTGACACAGATTTCAAGGGGCGAGAGCGAGAAGTCTTCTCGCCGCGAAAGAGAGGCAAAGTCCCTGAGAGAGAGACTACACCTATACACACACATACAAAGATACTGATGCAGATACAGGAGGCTGCTGCATGCTCTCTTTCTCTTCGGTTTATTTTGCTCTCCGGTTTCATCCCCCAGAACGTTTTTGGTCTGGGAAGATAGAAAGGACATCGGGCGATCTTTTGGGGAGATGAGTATGGGATTTTGTTGTTAGTGTTGTTGTTGTTGTTTTTCTCATGGGATGAGATGGGAGAGAGAGGAGCGGAAACAACCACCATGGCGAATGGGCAACCAACCAGCCGCCCGACACACAGAAATTCCCATTCAACAGCCGAGAATCCCGGCCATCCGAGAATCCTCATCGCCTCCAGACAATTCAGTTCGTTGCTGAGCGTGCTGGCAATCGGAATCGGAAAATCACAACCGCTACTTCGCTGCCACCGCCGCTGCCGCCGTCGCAGTCTCAGCCGCCGTTGACGTTGACGTCGCTGCCAAACAATTGTGTTCTTCATACATATTTTCCACTGCTTCTTTTTTTTTGCGCGCTATCGCCGCTTCTTTTGCTGGCTGGCAGCAGTCTTGCGAAGACAACCGGCAGATAGAGACGACACCCAAAATCACATCAAAAGTGTCCGCTTAAATCGGTAGAATCGGTCGAAAAAAGAAAAACAGCAAACATCAAGCATACGCAGTGTTGGCCAAGAAAATGTGGCGTCGCGTGTTATGAAAATATTTACATTCGATCTGTTTATTGTGATAATTACAAGTAACGTTTGAAAGCGGAATCATGCTGTTCGATCGCTTTGTCATATCAGGTTGGTTCCACGCCGTGAATATAAACAAAATAACAACAAATGGATCGGTATCTCGCGCCGCAACTTACAAGGAATCCCAGTTCCCTGAACTGAATCAGTTGCCTCGAAAATAGCTTACAATGGGACTAACTTACACAGAAGTCAAGTGAATCAATTTGAACAGAACTATTCATTGGTTAATCGACTGTGGACTAAGAAATGTGAAAAAAGAGTCAAAACATTAAGTGCCTGAAACAAATAAAAATCACAAAAATCTCCGCAGATCGAATGGGAAATTTTGGTTCTATTTATTATAAATCTCTTTCAAAACCTTTCACGATATATATAACACTATCTTTGAACATAAAATTTCTTAGGTGAAAGCCAATAAATAGAAAAACTTACTTAAAATATAATTTTATCTGTAAATACAACCTTACATGTTAAGTAAAAAAAAACTTGGTGATAAAAACCAAGTTAGAAAGCAGTCATTCATAATGAGTTTCACGAAACCCAAGTGCACTCAAAATTAGTCAAAGCAATTCTATCAAGAACTCTGTCTCCCAAAGTAGCCAAAAACATCTTTTAATCTAGTTGCCTCCGCAAAAGGTGTCGCCAACTTTTAATGGCCCAACTAAAGCCGAAGTAAGCCCTAAGTAAACCCATTAAAATCGATCCCCACTTATCAAGCCCCCCACACGCCGGCAATCAGCCCATTTATGGCCAGTTTTATCAGCAGGCCAGTCCCAAATGTGATTACCTAAAAAACAAATTAGCCGAAGGTCCCTGCAACTAACAATGGAAAACACTTGCGCTTGAGTAAAAGCGAAAAACTAAGAAAAAAACTACTGGCAAGTGATTAACAATCGGGTTGTCAAATAGAGCCGAGGATAAACGCGGGATGAGTGTTTTGGTTTCGAGGTTTTCGAGGGCGGTCTTTGAAGTGGCCTACTTCAAAAAGATTTCGCTAAATGGTGTGAAGCCGTCGGGTTTTGAGGTGATCGTAGAAGTGCAAGGATGTTGGGCAAACAGAGTGTGCCGCAGGATGTGCGAAATGCAGCAGGTTGCTCGGGTTCGAGTTCGAGTTCGAGAACTCTAAACGCAATATTTGTTTGACCATTGTTTGTCTGCCTGCTTTGCGGTCTATATTTATATGGCCGATACTTATCGGGCCAGGGGTAATGTTACTGTTACTGTTACCATTCCGTTCGTTATCTGTGGAAGCGCTGTCATATTTTGTCTAACAGCTCAAATTACGATTTAGTTTCAAGTGTTCGAACAAGGCGGATGGACAAGACAAGAAACCGAACAGCAAACAACAACTAGTAGTTGGGCAAATACCAATAATCGTCTGGTAATTTGTGCGTGTATACTTATGTTTCAAACCCACCGATTATCTGTATTTGAAAAGAGGTTATATTCGTAGTGGAAACTAGGGAATGCACTGCATAATAATTACTACTCTATTAACTAATTAACAAACCAAGTTACCTCTGTGCCAACTGTCAATGTTATGGTTTTATAACCAGTCAAGTTTTATATCCTATCTGTTTTATATCGGCAGACGCCAGTCGAGTCACATCACTTGAAAGTGAATACAAATCAAAGTAATTTATGTCGGAATTATTGTGTCAACAAAATAGTTGAAATACTTGAATACCGGCGATATTTATCCAGATTTTATTTGCACAGCCTGCTCGGCGAAAATCGGAAAGCGGAAACAGAGGCGGCGAGGTAACAGATATGCCCAATCCGATGGAAGGGTAGTGGCCAAAAAGACACTTGTCTTGCCGGAAAGATAGTAGATAGTAGCCACATTTGGTGGAGTGGGTGAGTGATAGGCGGTCCAAAATGTCAGCGCATTGCAAAATCACCCAGAAAGTGAGAGAGATACCTTTAACTGCTTTAACGGGAACCGTTCAACCGATTGTCATCGCACTTTATCTATTTTTGTTCGAATTTGGTAGTGAGTTGACAGCCAATAACAACTGATTAGGATTAGTGCCTCTCGAGTGCCTTCCAGCGGTCGGAAAAGTCATTTCTAATCGGTATCTATTTCTGTTTCTGTTTCTCCTTCGATTTCGATTCGATTCTCGACAGGCTCCAGTGGCGAAGACTTCGATCCGAGTGCGAGTGTTGTGCGCCACCACCACCATCACCACCATCATTTGGATCTGAGTGGCCGGAGTCAAGGGTTCAATCCGCTGACCGAACCGCTCGAGGATTCCTTTGCCGCCGCCACCCGCCATCGTTTGTCACTGCCGGATTGCGAGGAAGGATCGCCGACGAGAAGGGATCACAGGGATCACAGGGATCTCCCGGATCCGGAGCTACTGCATCATCTCTCCTCCGATCCCCTCCAGCAGCAGCATCATCAGGAGCAGGGCCAACAACCACCGCCGCCCACGTTGCCACTCGCCGTGGAATCCTCCGGGGCCGACGGCATGGACCACTTCTTCAAGGAGCACATCCTGCACCAGTGGGTGCGCCGGCGCGATCTCGTCTGTGATCTGGACATCCGTGATAGCGGCGGCGTCTACGCGAAGACGCCGCTCCAACGGGGCACCCACTACGGCCCCTTCCCCATGAAGCTCACCCACCAGCCCAACGACAAGGAACTGGCCTGGAAGGTGAGTCAATCTGTAATAAAATCCAGATTAAAATAACATATACAAAAAGTACAGAGCAAATTAAAAACATTAAGAGTCAATCTGCAATTAATTCCAGATTAAAATAATATATAGGTACTAAAAGTACAGAACAACTTAGAATCATTTAGAAACATCTAATGTTGTTTAATTTGCTCAAATATTAAAAACAATTTTCAAATTTCTTTCTATTTATAATTATTTTGATTGTATACATAACAACAAGTTATGAATCAAAGTTCAGTATTTTCAAACTGCTCACGAAAGTTGTCTAGAAATACCCAAAAGTTCACATTCATTTCATTAATATCATTAATATTTATTCATTTCATTAATATCCAATTACCACAAAAAGTCGTTGCACAATTTGGTACAGAGAATAATTCTAAAAATATACTTTAATCTCTTCTATATTTAATCTTCAAAATTGCAGTTTAAAAATGATGCCAAATAATAATAATAAAACCACTACGCTTCTAATCCCCTTCCCATTTAATCCTTTGAATATCTGTATGGAATTAAATGGCAAATTTCAGGCAGAACTCTCCCATTTCCACCCAAAAATGTCGTTAGTTTCCACCAAAAATGTTTTCCCAAACAATCAGCGCTGGAAATGGTTTCGCAATAGTTAGATCCTTAAGCCTTTCGCATGTGTGTGCATTTTGGCAAATATCGAATTTCCGCATTTTTTTCCGCTGGTCGCCGGAAATTTAATCCCATCAGAGCCGTACCAATTTTGATGTGCGAAAATTGCAACCGAATTGAGTCATCCCAATTTTAGTTTTCTTTTTTTTGGGTGGTTTTCGCAGGGAAAATCAAACGATTGGAAAAAGATTTGATTAGAGCTCTACCTCGAGGGTATCGATTGTCAGTCAAATGGGCCTAATCCCTGGCCAGAGCTAATTTACCTTCGCCGGAGTGGAAGGCCGGGAAACCAGGACGAAAATCCACAAAGTGCACCCCAAATGAGGCTTAAGTCGAGGCCGGCTGATGATTCCAATTAGGGTGGCGAGGATCCAGAGGCAAACCCTTCGATCGGTTGTCAGTCAGTCAGTCAGTCAAATGACACTTTTCCTACCTTCTCCCTCCCTTTTTTCCTACTTCCCTACCTCCCTCCACTTTCCACTTTTCGGCTGCACAGACAATCCAATCAAATTATCGCGCCTCGTCCTGTTGACAATTCGCACAAGAAGATCTAGATCCCTTTTACCTACACACACACACACACACAGCTCAGGTATTTGCCACAAAAATATTGTTTCTGCCACTCGAGCGAAAATTGCAAAAATAACAGAGCTCGGATCCTTTTTTCTAGTTTGCTACTGCTTTGGCCCTTTATTCCTGGATGATCCTCAAATCAAGCGCACTTTTATCGTTCACATTTCCGTTTTGACAGATACATTGGCCCTATCTGTCCCTATCTGCCACCGTTCCTCCGGCTGATCCTTCGGCAGGATCTGATCTGGCAATTCGAAGCCAGTTCTGCCGGCGAACCCAACACTTTGAGATTATCTCTGGCGCGTAAATATTTTCCCTGCCCATTGACTGTTTCGTGTTTTTCCACTGCGAGCTGTGAGTTGTGGCCTCCTTTTTAATAAAGTTATGAATAGGCGAGGACATGTGTGATGTGTGATGTCTGTCCGGGGATTATCGACGGACAAAACACGGCAACTGGAACTGTTTGGCAAACTGCCATTCCAAACTCTGATCGCTGGCCATGGATCCCTGTATTTACCGGTGATCTTATCATTTTTTAGTGGCTGCATCGGATTGCAGTTTCCCTTTCCGTCTTGAATAACCAGGAAAAATCGGAGAAGAGGTCTTCTAAAAAGATTCCAACGACTCTATATCTTGGGATCTTTTGCCTTGCCGTAAACATGAAACCATGTGGGAACTTAAAGTGAACTAAAAACAGTAGCTTATCACCAATGTTTTTTTGATATTTTTTTGAAAAGATAAGATTTATGTAAGGTGTTTCAAAAAAAAAGTAAAAAAGTAAATTACCCACAATGTTAACTATTTTTAAACAGCGATACCTATGTTTAGCATTATTTTAAAGATTCTGTAGAAAATTATGATTTTACAAAGTACCAATTTTAATTAATTGTCACTATTTATGTGCATTGGAGTATCTCCTCCTTCCTCTAATTATTGTAATTGCGATTTCCCCCCATGGGTTTCGAAAATCTAAGCCCTTCCAATTATGCATTTTGCAACTATAACTTTGGCGGACTCCCTCGGTATCAAAACACACAGACTGCAACCTACTTGTTTGGCAGGGGGGCACTCGAGAAACGGGAAAACTCCTCCCTCGTCCTGAAAACGCAAAGTTTATTTCACTTATGAGCGCGTATAATTTTGTATTTATTTTATTTTGCGCTCTGCAAATGCCGCGGGGCAGAAGAAGCCACTTGAGGCGTTGTTAACTTAATTTTTGGAGCGTGCACACATGGCTCTCACTCTCTCTCCCTTTCTCCCTCCCTTTCTCCCTCTCTCTCGCGCGCGCTCTCCAGACTCTCCCACTCAGCGAACACACACACGTACGTACGCACACACACACACCACTTAATCGCAAAACTGTAAAATGCCGTTTTTCCAAATGACTTCATAGACAAGAGCCTGACGTCGGCGACTTCAACGTTGCGCATACGCAAAGTCATTCAGTCAACCGCAGCGCTTGAGTTTTGATTTTATTTCATTTCAGCTCGTTGTTTTTTTTCGCTTTTTTGTTGGTTTTTCGATTTTAATTTGTGGTTGCCTCCAGCTTTCGGCGTCGCAGAGTCTAAGGCAGTTTTCCCCATTTCCAGCCGCAACTACAAATCCAAAAAAAAAAAATCGAATGTGGCAGCCGCCGTTAACGATTTGTGTAAATTATGCGTATTTCAGCTGCGGCGCCGGCTGCTTTTATTTTGTATACAAAAACTGTCGGCGGTTTTTGTTTAGTTCTCGGTTGTATTTCTTCTTGAGTTTTTTTTCGCACTGTTGCTGCAGTTTCCCCTTTCTGCCAGTGACCTTGATGTGGTGGGCAGACTTGTGGGCGGCGTCTTGCTGGCTTGCTTTTTATTAGAGTGCTTAAAGGGCGTTATTAATTGGCTGAGATATAATGTGTTCTTATAATGGATAATGGTTTAATGAGTCACTTTTTTTCCCTTGCGCCTTGACTCTTAATAAAAACATTACAATTTTTAAATTATTTTCTTGTCTTTTTTAGGGATTTTAAAAGAATTACATTTATTTCACCTAAAAAAAGAGTTTGCAATAAATTTAAATTAGGTAATGGGCGCGTTATTTGGCACGCAGGGATGCCACTCCGGTGCTTTCGTACCTCAAATAATTGTTTTACTTACAAATTAATTACTAGAGCTAAGAAATCGACGAAGTGGCAGCCCAGTGCCTGCAATTATAACACTTTTGTGGGTTGGTGTCTTGGCTTAGCAAAGACAATCGTGTAAATATAGCACACTTATAAGGGGTGAGCCAACAGATGGCGCCAGCAGTCATCTTTATAATTTGAAACAACATTAATTAAAAGCATTGAAAAGTAGGAGAAAAGACTTTAAAAAAAATAATTAAAAATTATTTACCCTTATGTTATATTTGCAGGCCAATGCTGGACATTATACCGGATGGCTAGAGCCCACATCCGATGTGTCCGCATGGTTGAAAAAAATTCGAACCGTTCAGGACGAGAGCATTATTGGCGAGGCTAATTTAGAGAGTTACATTGATGGCGGTTATGTGAGTATATACGCCCCACCCCTCACCGAAACCCCTTGGCACGTGCCACTCGATTTTCAACTATTTTTTACAATTATTTTCCCTTTTTTTAATAGCTGTGGTACGAGACGAATCGTTATGTGAATGCTGGCAGCGAAATGGTGGTCGACGGCCGACCCAAGAGTCCTGTTCAGCTGAACAAGAGTTTCATCAACGGCAGCGAGGTCTTCTCAGCCGCCGCAGCAGCCGCTGCAGCAGTAGCCGCAGCATCCTCGTCGGGAGCGAACAGCGGGGGCGGGGGGAGCTCCCTGCCCAGCGATGGTCGCAGCGATCGGGATAATGGTGAGTTTTAAAGATTAATTTCCTTAAAAAAATTATTAAACAAACAGCAGAAATATAAACTAAATTTTCTGAATTAATAAACTGTTAAGAAAAGCTTATAGTTCTGTTTTCTAACCATTAAAAAAGGTATTTTTTAAATCTAAGAATTACCAGTCAATACAACTTGATATATTTAATAGAGGTTTTATCATCATAAAATCATAATCTCAAAGAAAAAAAATATCATGACTAAAAGGAATTTTATTTTTTATTTAAAAATCAAGGAAAGGTTTTTATAGAATTTGTTTTGTTTGATGTTTCCTTTTTTTCTTAAAAGTTTTAGTAGGAATTTATACGCAATACAATAAAAAGAGACCCAAAACACACTAATCAAGATATTACAACCCATTCCATTGATTAGTTACCAGGACCCCTGACAAAAAATTGTACAATTTCATCATGATTTGACATTGAAAGAGAATATAATAATATTATGTGTGTGTGCTGTGTCCATGCTGGTGTGGCTAATAAGTGCAGCTGTGGTGCCGGGCAATTAACGCCCAACGCAACCACTGTGGGTCAGGTCAGAATACAGGGGATACAGAATCCGAGATCTGAAATCCGAAATCCGGTGGCTCAATGCCCGTGACAGAGTTCCTGGCACGAGCGACGGACCTTCGAGATAAAATCTCGGGATCGGAGAACAGGGAGCAGGGAATAGGGAACAGCTTATGAGGGTCCACACACAACATCCCTATTCGTATTTTTGATATATTAGCACCCTTTTCGGGTTTGCCTCCCTTAAATGCGATCAATTTGTGCGCTGCGCATGCGCCCATGCAATATTGCGGCGACCGCACATGTTTTCATTTGTTATTAAAATGTTTGATAATTTCATTAGAGATCCATCAGCAAACAAAGGGCCCGAGATTGTGTCAGCGATATATATGGTGTATTCGGTGTACTCGGTGTATGTTGCTGACAGTCAAAATGGCACACGCTCAATTTAAGCCTAATCCTGCATCCCTTGAATCCCAGGACCCCAGAAAAATAAAATGGGAAGTCGGGGCGTGTTTGATTATAAACATGTGGGATTTATGGACAGCTCATTTGGCGTTTCACACTCTCTTCTCTGATTATCACAAATTAAAATCTCCACGAGAAATGTTTTCGCTAGCGATTCGGATTAAAATTTGAATATATAATGGTTAATTCCATATGCTTATCTGCAGGATCATAGTTGCCTTACAATGGACTTGCATTTATTTCTGAATTATTCAATTAAAGCCAAGCTGTCAAAAAGTTTCCGTTTTCCAAGCTTGAAAATCAACCCGCTTTCCCAGACAGAAAAAAAAAACAGGACACCTGTGACTTGACTTTTTAGCATATCGTTTTTAACGTACTTTCGGTCAACTTTTCTCGCAGTTCACGCGCTGCTGAGCAGGGAAATTTAGTCTTTCGTTTTTAGTTTCTGGCAGAAGACAAGGCCCAGATGTCCTGGCCTCAAGGATATGGCCACGAATGCCACCAGTGCAGCACGGGGGGTGGCAACACGATCGCAGACCCGAAAACCCGGAAAGGAAAACGGCGAAAAGGTGACAAGGAGCGATCGAAAGTGTGGTTGAAACGGTGGCAAAAGATCGCTGAATTTCCAGGAGAGGGAGTTCCAACTTTCGACCGTTACTTTTGTCCAGGAATATTTAATGAGCTGACTTGAGCTGGGAATTTTTACAGAATTTTCAGTTAGGAAAATGCAAATGTCAAGGGGTGCAATATTTAGCATGGGAAAGTTAAAAACACAAAACAAAGAATTCAATAAACACAAGCGAAAACATTTTTTTTAATTCATAAAATAATTATTTAAAAGTTAAAGAACGTAAAAAAGCAAAGTAATACATAAAGGTAGATATACCTTTCTTGATATTTGCTAACCTTAAAATATTATAATAGATAGGTATAATAGATATACCTTTTTTAATATTTTCTAATCTTAAATTACCAAGCCTTAAATTGTTGAAAATGTTATTGATGTTATTACACTTGTGTTCCAACTTTAATGAAGACAACTATTTTGTTTAAACATGCCTTCAATCACTTAAAAACAGAACCAACCCACAAAGTTGTCAACCCGAAGCAAACCCCCTTCACCTTGACTCCACCCTTGTCCCCAAAAACAAAAACGAAACCATTCCCAAAAAGAAAAAAAAAACAACAAAAATATAAACGAAATCAAGACAGTTTTGAGATGGCTTTCGGCTTAAATCGCGGCAACTCTTCAATCGACCAATCAAACAATGGAACAAACTATACACGAAGCACATTTAGATACACATTCGGTTGGCCAACTGGCGACTGGCAGAAAGAACACACGCCACATAGACCAAGCTCATAAACGAGATCCTAACTAAACCGAGATACAGATACGATTGACACTTTGTCGCCGGCAAAGCTGATGGATGATTAATGAGCTGAAAACAACAAAAACAACAACAAAGTCGAAAAAAATCAAAAGAGGGAAAGAGGGAAAACCAAGTTGAATAGAAGGCTCGTGTCGCGTCTTCGGCTAAATGATCATCGTGTGTCAATTTGGGCATCATTAGGAGTGCCACCTAACCCTTTTTTTTTTTTTTTTTTTATTGATTGTTTGGTTTTTTATTTCTGCTGCTGGCAAATCGATTAGCAGGCGGATCTAACTTTTGATTTTGCTCGTTCTTTTTTTTTTTGTTGCTGTCTGTGAGCAAGTTGTAAGGTGTAAATAATTCAATCAATCATTTGTCAACAGTTTCGGCTTCCGTTTAGCGATTTAGCCACCGATTCAGGGTCAGCCGATGGCTTTTGGCAGCCAGCAGCGGATTCTGTGATATGTAATTGGCATGTCAAAGAGTTTTGCCCCGCCTCCTTTCGGTCTTTCAGCCTTTCAGCCCCTCCTCTATTTAATCCACATCCTGCAGCCTTACAATGCAGCTATTGAATTGTCAGTTCTGTTTTGGGCCAGCGAATCAATCTGTCAGATGAATCGGGGGAATCCAGCTGCTGGAAAAGAGTTGCAGAATGAAAAGAGAGAGAGATGGTGAAAGGCGTGAAAGGATTGAGCAGGATTTTCCAGGGAGATGCTGACAAGGGGGCGGGGCAATGACTTAATGATAAGGAATCGATGAGCAGACAGCGGAGATGGGTCTGTGGATAATGAATTGGGCATTTGATTAATTGCCTAGATGAAGAGTTAAAAAAGCAATAAAAATTGAGCCTTGGATTTGGCACTTCAACAGTTAAAAAAAGAGTAAAATATCTTTAATTGTTATTCAGTCACTCGAATATCTAAAAAGCCTGGCCAGATATAATTATTTATATAATGAATATTTTCTGTCTTTCCATTTCGGTTTGAAAATTTTAAGTTCTTTTTTGTTTAATTTTCTCAAGTCTTAATATCTTTTATTTTACTTTTTTTAATTTTTTATAAACATTATTAAACGTCCTTCTGCATTTTCTTGCTATTTCAAGACCATCTGCTCTTCTTATCTGAAAACTTAGTTCCCAGGATTCCTCCCTACTTAGAGCCACCCATCCAAACACAAGTTTTCCCAAGCCTTCTCAGGCTCAAAAGGAACCTACACCTACCCTCCTTTTCGCCCAGAACACCATATGTCAGCCCACCTCCACCCCCTAGAAACGGATCCTACCCTACTGTCAACCTCCTACTATCCCACGCTTGCCCACCCAAAAACCAAACATTAAAAAACAGAAAAGGACTACGGCCAAAGTTCAAGTGCAGCCCACAAGGAAAAACTCTTGACGTGGGAATCTTCGCTGCCCTTTGCGGCCATATTGCACACGCTGAAAATTAACTTTTGACCCAAACAGCAATTACCACTGTGCTGAGCACGTTTAGGGCAGAGAGGGGGTGGTGTTGGGTAATCACCCCTAGGCCAAAAAAAACGAAGGGGGTGGGCTGCCTTGAGAGGCAACACCTGTTTTGAGGCCAAAAGCGGCGAAAAGCCGGTAAGGTGCCATATCTATATGACTTTTCAAACGAAATCAGTCCAACGGAACCGCATTGAAGAGAAGTGGGAGGGGGAAAGGGGGGAGGGAGAGGGGGTGGGGTGGGTGAAGGGTGCAGGTTGGCAGAGGTTGAGGGGTTGACTGCTGACCCTTTGGATGTGCTTGCATGCATAATCTCTGGTCATCGCCATCATCCCTTAGCTTCTCTCTCTCTCAGGTGTGTTTATGCGTGTGTGTGTTAGTGTGTGTGTGTCACCTGGTGGTTGTCCACTGCCCACCACCCCTGCTAACTAGTGCTAGTAGCATACCCCACCCCCTCTTCCCTTTCCTACCCACTCCAGTAGCCACCCCCTAGAAGCACCTCAGCTTTCTCCTCAGCCGCTCTGCTCATATTCAACACTCAGTTCCCCTAGGAATTGTTTAAAGGTGCAGAGAGAGAAATATTTTAAAATTTCTTAATAAAGTATAGTTTATTTTTAAATAACAACATGGAAAAAAAAGTGTCTAGTTCTTAAAAATTCTTAGAGCCACATCTCAAAGCAAAGGGCTTTAGAATTTCCAAAAAATTAAATAACAACTGTTAACTCATACCTTTCTACTTTTCATTTTGTGTGAAAATATAGAAGTTTTAGCCTTAAGATTTTTTGAAATATATTTTGAAATATTTCTGTAAATCCTTTAAAATAGTTATCCTATAGAATATTTCCTATTACTTCTCCTTATAATTCATATTTTACCTATGGCCAATCTTTTTTCTCTCCCTGCACCCGTGCACTTGGCACTCGTCGGGAGTTGGCCAAGTTAAGAGCGGGGGGTGAGGATTGCCTTTAGAGGCGGTGGGGTGGGTAGGGGTGTCTTGCCCTTACCTTACTTTCATTTCGGACAATTATCTATTCAACGTCAAGCTATGCGAGTGCCATATATGAGTGCACACGATTTCGTCTCCGCTACCAATTTTGTGTTAAGTGTTTGCGTGTTTACTCCCGAGTGTGTGCCCCTGTGTGTGTGAGTGTGTGTGTTGGTCATATGTCAGTGCGTCCTGGCCAGAACAAAAAAAAAAGGACCTGCCGCAGATTGTTAGCGGGCAAACAAAACATTAGCTCGTCGGCATTATGCTCCGCGAACGACACACTTGTTCATCAAACGCGAAGCCGAACGGTTGTGTGTCAAGTGGCCAGTAAAAGTGATAACCCAAGGATCGAAGGGATATACTATATAGTGAACATCTAGAGTTGAAGCTGAAGATTGCGTACGCTTGTGTGAGTGATCGAGGAAGTGTTTATGGCGGAAGAATAAATAAGGAGATTTATTTGAGATCACCATTGCAAATTGTGCTTCTTTTTTGTGATTTTTAACGATGCAATAAAATATCATTGAATTTTCCTTAAAAGTTTCTTAGTACTAATTTAAATTATCATAAATTTTAATAAGGTGGTAAAAATGTTAGCTATTTATTTACATAAATGCTAATCTAATGCATATCTTCTTTTCCTTTTTTCCAGGCTCCTTGTACAGTGGCGACGAATTCCCCAAGGATAAGAAGAACTCCTCGCTAATCAGCCAGGCAGATATCGATTACAAAGACGACGAAAACGGTGTCGACATACGCTGTGAGGTCTGTGATAAAGTCTACGAGGATTTAGAACTGTAAGTACTACCCGTATTGGCCAACTTAATTGCCATTAATCGGACCCCCGGGTTGAACCTCTCAAGTGTTTTAAGTCCCGATTTTCGCGTAGGTGAATGTCTGCATCCGAAATTGCTTTGGCATTTAAGCAGCATCGCCGATAATCTATATCAAATTTTCTGTGTTGCTGTGAGCCATATAAAAAACCAGAAAAAAAAACGAAAAAACAAGCTACCAATTAGCTTCCAACTTACCCAAAAGAATTATGGGTGCGCAGCGAATAAAATCTGTGTAGAAGTTGAAAGAGAAATCCGACCGCGATATACAAAGTATCTGCAAATGTTGCTAAACGCTTTGCATCTAAGTGGATATGCGGTCTAATGCCGGTCCCCGGCTTAGATCTTAATTAAAAGTTGATGGCGATAATAGTGCGGCCAATAAAAATGCCATTAAAAGATCCAAGAGACGCTCGCTCGAAAGTGAGAGTGAGTTTTTTCGACTGCCAGCTCCGAAATGAATTGGAATTGAAATTGAAATGGTCTTGGTCTTGATTTGACTGGCTTTCGGTTCGCTTTTGGCCAACTGACGGTTTTAGCCATAGACTTCGGTTTGTGGCCCGTACCACGATTGGTTTTTTATGGGCCCAAATGTGCAATCTGTAGGTGTTAACTGAGCCTTAATGCCTCCTGCATTGGTTCGGCATTTCCATTTCATTTGGCTTAACTTTGGTTCAAAGTTTGTTTAGGCTTTACGATCCGCTAGCTGGTTATTAAAAAAAGGAAATTTTCACTTGGTTTTTTATGATCAAATTTAAAAACAACACGATATATCAATCAAAGGATTAAATTTATTTATTTGTTTTTCTGTTTTTGATGATTTTTGTTACCGAATTCAAATACGAAACATTTAGTAATTAAAGTAATTGATTTATTAGATAAATATAAATCTGTTTAATGTTTCCCATTTGCTTTGGACTTTCCCTTAAACACTTTACTAACTGATCACCAATCTTTCCATCAAGTAATTCCCTCTTCAAAAATAAACACGACCATCATTCTACCACACAAGTGGTTAATGCAAAAGTTTTGTCCCAATATTTACAAATGTTTTGCGTTGTAACAAATAAATGACCCACAAGCAGCCACTAAGGCAAGAGCAACAATTGAGCCAACACGCAAATGACATTTCTATATCCCTCCTACATATATATATATATATATATATATATATATATATATATAGATGTATATACGATGGCTATAATCATAGATAGCCATATATTTAAGTTGAAGTGCTAAAAGCGAGCTTTGATTTGATGTTTGGCCCGAGATGTGGAGCGCTTCGAGTGTATATGTTTACCGTTACTAGAGTGGGTGGCCCCCTCCCACCCTTCCCCCCGAAATCCCCCCTGGGGTGCACTTATCAGTGGCGGTGATTTATTGAATTTTACATGAGGAGCTCTCGATGGAAGGGAAGCTATGTGAGCAATGTCTGCGTGTCCAGGCTGTCTCTCTATTTTTTCCTTTTTTTTTGCCATTTATCTGATGTTGAACATGCATGGACTGTAAGCCAAACAAACGCCCACACTTCAAGTGAAGGTAACGAAAAAAATAGAGGGAAAAAGAGGAGATTTTGGGGAGCGGGGGACTCGAAACTATCAACTCTTCCATGACGATGACAAAACAAAGAAAAATGAAAACGTTGCCGCCTCTTGTCGACATCGCTTTTGCCATATATTCTCTTTTTTTCGATTTTTTTTTTTTTTTGCCTGATTTTACTCCACCCACGTAAAAGGCGATAAGCATCGCACCACCACGCACCACTTTTGGCCACGATTCTCGGCCAGCAAGGACGCCTTTGCCTTTGCTCATTGGCCACAGCTGTTTTCCTTTTCCTTTTTTTTGGGCAGAGATCCCTTATCAACTGGCCGCGCATATTAAATATTGAACATCATTTGACTAATTGACGCCCGTCGGTGGAAAGGGGGAGGGATTTTCCGAAGAGGGGGCGGGGCAGGGGCGTTATCCCAGGTGGTCGGCAAACAAAGGCGTGTGAACTGTCGCACATGACTTTGATTGAACCGCGGCGATTTGGCAGAGAGCCCCACGAAATGTCACAATGCTAATTTCATTTGCGATGACAGCCAGTCAGATAAGAACGAAAAAAAGGACGAAAAATGAGAACTTATTTTAGGGCCTTACTATCCTGAATTTTCCTTGGCTTATTTTCTTCTTTTATTTTTGGTTCTTTGCAGTTTGGACGATCATCTGGTGGGCACTCATCATTTCAAGCAGGACGAATTCCCCTGCAAACAGTGCACTCTGCGATTCTGCCATCGTCCTTTGGTGATCAAACACGAGGCGATCTGCCACAAAACCTATCGGAAATATTCCTGCGAGAATTGCAGCCTGGTAAGCTTAAATTAAAAATTTAAATAATATAAACTATTATGGTACCTACTAAAAGGCTTATTCCCCTAAATATCATGAACTGAACTCTTTTTTATGGGGAAATAAATACAGATAAGCGTTAAATACATTTTCAACTAGTACAACTGAGATTTAGATAAAGAGAGAGCATCCAGGCATTAGCTTCTGTTGCCGACAACCTTCGATCGGTCCGAAAAGTTACGCCGTCATTAATTATTGTATCAGCTCGTGGTGCTCTGGTGGCTTGGCAACACAAAAAGACTTTTGATTTCAAGCGGATCAATAGCCGCGGGCTGCTAACTTGGCTCTTAGGAGTAGCCAACCCCCCTTCCCTTTCCCCATTTAACCCCTTTACCCCTCTTTACCCCCCTTTACCCCCCTTTTCCCTCACTTGAAGCACGCGCTGAGCGGCTTACTTGCAATAGACGAAATCAGGGCGTGTACTCATCCAAAAGGCAGAAACACTTAAGCGTTCCGTAATGAAGAAACCCTGTCGCAGCCCCTTAACCCCGCCTCCTATTTTTTGAGTTGAAGCTCATCCCATCTTCGCTGGCTGCATTTGAATGCCAAAGCGAAATCAAAAGGGCTTGGAAATCCATCCATCCATCCATCCAACCATTGAAGCATCCAACACAATCCATCTAGCCATCGAAAATCATCCATCCATCGAACGATTCGTTTCATGCGTCATTGTCATCGCACTGCGACTTCGACATCTTCCAAAGATGTTTTAATGGCATGTTGATTACGATCTTGTGGTCGCAGCCCAGCAGCCTCGGCCTTTTCTCTTAGCTTTTTCCCCACACACACACATTTTTCCCGTCCGATTTCCATTTCCCAAATCGAACGGTATTTTCAAATGTCTGCTGAGCATTACAGTTTGGTTTACTTAGCGCTCTGTAATTGTTTCGGTGGCATGTAAGTAGCACGCATTGCGGTTCCCCAACTCTCAAATCACATATCTCCTCCAAAAAAAAAAAAAGAAAAAAAATGTTTAAAAAAAACCCATCCCTAAACGGGAGCCACTCGGCCCAAAACAAATGATGATCGATCTTTTCGGCCAGACTTTCGCTGGGGTCCAAGCTTTTCGACCGTTGTTTTCTTCTTCCTTCACTTCTTTAGGCCCTCTGACAGGGCCAAAAAACCAAAAAAAAAAAAAAAAAAAGAGCTGAAGCTGGCTCTGCAGCTGTCAGCTTTGTTTGTTTTAAGCAGCCGGCTTAAAGCGTTTCCAAAGGGATTTGCCACGGATCTACAAGGCTTTGTTCGAGGGCTCAGCTTGGAATCCGTGATGAGGCAGTTGGTCGTTGTATATTGAGTGCACAATGGTGTTAAGGGGGGCGGATAACTGTGAAGTCGTTGGGGGTTAACTGACGTTGCCTCAAATTGAAACAGCTTTTATCTTCTAAGCTCCAAGTTCTAGTATTCAATTTTATTAGTTTCCAATTTAGGGATCCCAACTCATGTAGCTCCATTAAATTTAACTACATCATTCTTAAGTAGCTTTTCTTACCTAACTCATATATAAATATATTGCACTTTCTTAAGCTCCCAAGTAAATGTCGAATTATACCCCTTCATCTTCGCCCAAAAAACGTAACTATTCTGCAACTTTAACCAGAAGTTTCAACTCCATTAGGCTACCAGAGTCTGATCTCATCTTCAGGCCATGGACCCACAGGCACCGATGCCTTTTGCTGACCCCACGTACGCTCCTAGATCTCTTGGCTTACAGCACTGACCCCCCAAAACCGCCCACCTCCCCCCTGCTGACTCCCACCTACTGGATAATACCCCCCATCCAAGTCGCATTCCACAGAAAAACACAGAGATCTCGTCGGAGACTCTGCACCACTTCTCCACTTCTTTGCTTCTGCACCACCGAATGCCAAAACACCTACACTCAACCCACTGAAGCTCCGACTGCTTTTCATCTTTCAGGGCACTGAGAAAAATATTAGAAGTGTTTTATTAAGATAAAAAAAATAATATAGGATATTAGTACATATATACAGAAATCAATCTTAAAATGTTTTTTGGTACAAATTAAACTTTTTTTGATATCTCCTTTCTTTTTTTTAACATTTAAGCTCAGAATTTTTTTCACTATTCCTGAAGTTGTTATTTCCCCAGTGGTTGTTGTTATTGCTGTAACACCGTGATCGTCGTTGTCGTTATATATTTTCTTTTTGTTGTTGTTGTTGTCGTTGTCTTTTGTGGCGTTTTTCGCCTTTTTGGAGAGTAGTTGAATCTAATCCATTTGATGTAGTTATAGCACGAGCTATTCTTGTATGTCGCCCCCCTCTGCCCACCTGAATCCCCCCCTGATTTTCCACCTTTTGTGCGGCTCATAGAGATAGACAAAAAAGGCTGCCTCGATCATCGTTTGATATGAATTCGTAGCGCATTATGACAGCATGATTAGGCATAACAGTTTCGTAAAAAATAAAGGCGACGGGGGAGTCGAAGCGGCTGACCGAAATCAAGTTTGAAGTGGGTACACAAAACTGGATGCCAGCCTGGATTCCCCCTCTCTGCCTCAACGAACACACACCCCCTCTAATCCCCCACTGCCCCCTTTATCCTATTTTAAAGCCCGATCTGTCATTGCCTTCGCCCCTCCAAGAAAATAAAAAAAAAACGGAAAGTGCGAGCTTCAGCTGGAATATATTTGGTTTAGGGCTGGTTGTAGAATTTGTCACAGTGTTTTCAATACAAAATATGGTTATTTAAAATATAATTTAGTTGAAAATTACTATAAAGAATTAAAAGATGTTTAGAAAGTATTTCCTGAAACAAGTCAATACTTTTAATTTTATTTTTAAATATATACTTTTCTATAAAATTATATTCTTGTGTTGCATTGAAATATAACTTTTAAATTTATCAAACTTTTTTGAATATATCCTAGTATTTTAAATTGTTCTTTTGTTAAGTACAAGATCACTCTTTTCTTTTTAAGCCCACTTTGCTCCCTTTTCCCTTTCCTTATTCAGGGCCAAGTTCCTATTGTCCAACCCTGTTTCTCAGGTTTTGGACCTTTGCGGGGGTAAATGGATGCTTCGAACCAGGCAATGACAATTGTAGCAATTGATGTTAATAATTGACGAAGGTGTTTGTGGGTGGAGATGATGTTGTTGCCATTCGCTCTGTTGTTGTTGTTGTTGGTGCTGCGATTGCCTTTGCGTAATCTCGGAGAGCTTCGGTTATTGTCTAGCCCAAAAGAGATCCGTTTAAGCGGCAAAGGCAGCCACACGGCAGCACCGCCAGATGATTGATTAATTTCAGTTTCGTTTCATTTCGATTTGGAACCAGATCACCCGACCAATTCCATATTTTATACAGAGCAAGAAACATTAATTATTTTAAATTATTTTTACAAAAAGTTACAAATATACTTAAAAGTTATGTATTTTAGCCAAGCATTTCCTATGAATTTGTTTCTAAATATTTTAAGGTTTTAAGGAAACCAAACCTAAAAAACTAAATACCACACATAATATTTGTATTTAAGATCATTTTGTGAATTTCTACTGAACTAAATTAGGTATGGTCATTACCCTTTTATATTTCTTACTCTATAAGTAATATAATTAGTTTAAAATATTTTTTTCTATGTACCTATTTTTTATTCAATCGCCGACAACCACCAATCGTAACTCACACCGTTTGCTCTGCTCTGCGATCTGTGTGTTTTGCAGGTATTTCGTGACCCCTCGAATCTACAGCGGCATATTCGCGCCTACCACGTCGGAGCTCGCTGTCATCCGTGTCCGGAGTGCGGGAAAACATTCGGAACTTCTTCGGGGCTGAAGCAGCACCAGCACATCCACAGTTCGGTGAAGCCGTTCGTTTGCGAGGTGTGCTCCAAGGCGTATACGCAATTCTCGAATCTGTGCCGCCACAAGCGGATGCACGCCACCTGTCGAACGCAAATCAAGTGCGACAAGTGCAACCAGAGCTTCAGCACACTCACCTCGCTGACGAAGCACAAGAAGTTCTGTGATTCCACCGGGCCCGTCTATCGCAGCCAGCACGTGAATCGCCATCATCCGTATCAGCATCCGCATCCGCACTCGCATCCGCATCCGCATCAGCATTCGCATTCGCATCAGCAGCCGCATTTACCTGCAACAGCAACGTCCGCGTGTGCTGCACCGAAAAGGGAATCCTCGGAGTCGTCGCCTTCGTCGAGTGCCGCCGCCGTTGCCGCCATGTCAACGCCACCGAATCCCTTCCTGATGTTCCGCACCGCCCCGCCCTTTTTTCCCGGTTTCCCGCCCTACGCATTTTCCAACTTCAACCCGCTTCTGTCTCCGAACATTCCCATGTTCTTCTCGAAACCTCCCATGGACTTGGGTGGTGGCCCAGCGCAAGAGGTCACCTCGCCGAACTCCTCCTTCGGCCAGCTGCCCTTTCCCTACGACAAGGTCAAGGACGAGGAGCTGTCCTTCAAGTCGGAGGTGGCGGGGGAGCCGAAGGAGGAGCCCAAAGAGGAGTCCGTGCTGCATGTCTCCGATGGCGAAGACGAGGAGAGCCACGACTCGCTGGATGTAAAGATGAAGGAGGAGGACTCGAACAATAAAATGGAATCCGAGGAATCTGAGCAGAAGGAGCAGGAGTCCGAAAGGGCCACCAGTCCCGATCAACAGCAGGTCGAGGATGATAGGGTAAGTTCAAAAAAAATATATAGTTTGTAAATATAGAGAAGGCAAGAAATTTTTAGGGGTGAAATAATTAAAAATAATTTGAATATAAATGCAATCCTACATTTGTAATATTAGAGAAATTTTACATATTAAGATAGTTGCTTTGATTAATGCTAGTTTTCTTTAAATGTACATAAAGTGAAATTCATTTAAAAATTTTTGGGAATTAAATGGTTTTAAAATTTGAAGATTCCCATATTTTTGTTTCAAGTACTAAAATCAAATTCCTACAAAGTAGAATGTTTTTTATATATATATTTTTTTTGGTTTTTTTTTTTTTCTTTTTAAGAATCCTTGTTCCAGATTAAAAAAGTTATAGAGAAAAAGGCATATGTAATTCCGAACTGTTTCCTTTCCTATTTACTCATAAACTAATTTGTTATTTTTTCCTTTAGAAATCCATTGACATTGTGAGCACCCCGCCACCAACAGACACTCCATCCGGAGGAGGAGATGCACCTTTGGACCTCTCGATCTGCCGGAAGAGCAAGGCGGCGTCGCATTACCTCAGCGCCTTGAATCCGCCGGAGCACTACCTGTACAATCGGTTCATGCACAGTAGTAGTCTGCATAACGATGTCGATCCGCTGATGAACTTCATGAAGTCGCACAGTTCGGCGGCCTCGTCGACGTCGCAGAAATCCTTCAAGGGCAGCAGTCCCACGCCCACCGCCTCGCCGGGATTAACGCCCTCCCCATCGCCGCCCACCAGTGCGGGCGGTGAGCTGAGCAGCACGTCCGACGGCGGAGCGGTATCCACAGCAGCCAATACTACCGCTTCAGCGGCTTCAGCCTCGGCGGCAGCGGCAGCAGCGGCGGCGGCAGCGGCAGCGGCGGGAGCAGCGGAGGCCGCTCTGGCGCACTTCCACCAGACGACGCATCCGATGATGCTGGAGGAACTGTATCGAAGGCAGATACCTTTTTTATGCCCAACGGGCGGACGGCCCGCCATTGAGGCGCTGCTGGCGAATGCCGCCAATGCAGTTGCCCCAAAGCGGCCGCTTCCGTCCGTTAAATTTCCCACGGGCAGCGGCCTGAAAACCAAGGATCGTTACTGCTGCAAGTTCTGCGGCAAGGTGTTCCCCAGATCGGCGAACCTAACCCGGCATCTGAGGACTCACACGGGCGAACAGCCATATCCGTGCAAGTATTGCGATCGGGCATTCAGTATATCGTCGAATCTGCAGCGTCACGTGAGGAATATCCACAACAAGGAGCGTCCCTTTCGCTGTGAGTTGTGCGATCGGTCCTTTGGCCAGCAGACGAATCTCGATCGGCATGTGAAGAAGCACGAGTCGGAGGGCAACAACTTCCGGGATTCCCCGAGTTCCGGCGGAATGGCCGAACGGGAGGAGTACTTCGATGAGATACGCACCTTCATGACCCGGGTTTATACACCAAATAGCTTGGCTGGTAACGAGGGGGATACCGAGGAGTATCCGAATAGCGATGATCAGTCGGTGAATCTGGAGAAGCACACTCGCAGTCTCAACAACAACAACAGCAGCAACATCACCAACAACAACAACAGCAGCAGCAACAACAATCCCAAGGCCATAACAATAAGCTCTTAAAAGAAAAGAAAAATGGAAGGAAAAAAAAAGAAAATGGAAAAGAAATAGAGACCTTTCCTTGTTGTTAACTGAAGAAAAACAAAACTTACTTTAACTCTTACTTAAGTGTGCCTCCGAGAGGGAAAACCTATCTATAAGTAGTTACCATTTCCACAGAACTTGTACTAAACCAACACTAAACACTAAACATTAGCTATGCAATCAATGGAAAAAGACGGTGAAGCATCATAACTTAAACTACGAAATAAATAAATACAATTTAGTGGGAAAAAAAAACTTTATAAACTACATACTATAAATACTTAAAACCAATCTAAAACCACCTTAAATGTGTAGCTAATTTAAACATCTGTACATAGACATTATGCAAGTCTCAACTTAGTGAGTCGATTTCAACTACTTTGGAACTCTGTGGATTATATACATACATATATATTATATATAAAATATGTGGGGATATTTTGATTGTGTACGTGTATAGGCTTTATATATATACATAAATCTATATGTGTAAATCGATTTGTAACGTTTAAGGTAAGTCTAACATATTTATAGAGCTAATTATTGCAATTCTCAAACAAAACAAAACAAAAACCAGAAAAACAAAATCAATTTTATAACATTTACTTAACGTTTAATTATATTATTATTATATATATGGAAAACAAGAAAAGATCGTTATGAAAAATGAAAAATCAATAAATGAAACAATCGCATAAAATATGAGAGTTTTTATATAATGAAGGGATAAGGAATGCCATACAAAAATATATATAAAAATCTTCTAAGTAAAGGCAGGTTTCACTTTCGAAACCAAACATGAAAATTCCGTTTTCAGATTTATCAGCACTTATCAGTAAAATTTTCCAGTGCCCCATTTAAATAATTGGCTCATCTTTCCTGAATCCGAAATCAGGAAAAAAACCGCACAAGCCAAGCCAAACTTTGTGGCCATAATAAAGCCATTGAAAGAGGTTGGTTCATCCACACTCAATTACCGCATAAAAGAAGACTTTATACACCCATCAATCCTGGCCGCAGACCCAAAACATAATTGTGAACGCATTTGCCTATAAACCAACTCGCCCGATTATTAATCATTGGCTCAGAGCAAAAATAAAAAAGAGATAAAAAAAAAAAAAAAACCAAACGAACCGAATACCGAAACTTATAGCTTTTTAATATACCCAACCTAGCGATCCATCTGGGCAACCGACCCAAGTCATCTATCCATCTATCCATCCATCCATCGAGCAATCCATCCAGCAATCCATCTCGAGTCCGATCTCCAAACACCAAACTACAAACTACAAACTCCAAACTTCGATCTGAATGCAAAGGCGTGATCGGCAAAGCGAGTTAATTACCCTTCCGGTTTAGAGTGTGTTACGCCTTCGGCGAAATGCGGTTAAAACTATGCGATCTATCCATGAATACTTTTCAATTTTTTTTTTTTTTTTTGTCTTTTATATTTTTCCAATCCTCCAAATACTTTGTTCGTTTTTCTGTTTGCTCTTTTGTTTTTAACTGAATTTTAAATTGTATTAGCCGGGGCGCTCGCCATTGGCATCAATCATTTTTTTTTTTTTGCCAAAGCCTTTTCAGTTTTTATTTTTTTTTTTTTTTGGTTTTATATACAATTTTTTAATATTTTTTCAACCTGTGCATAAGCAACGATCGACCGTTACCCGAGTGGCATACAAAAGATCAGTCAAATAGCTGCGGTTCGGTCACTTTCGATTATGCGAAATATGCCTGGCAGTCGGTAGCCAAAATAATAATCTTCGGCCACAATTGGAGTCAGCCGGAGTCAACTTCCCGCCTCTTTCAGTTCCCCCTGCCCCTTGCTTTTTTTTTAGCCATGGAGCATTTGTTGGCCCTGACCACAGCCAACTTCCACAAATTGTGCCACAAATTTGAACGCAAAACTGGCCAAATTATGTTAAATTTGTGTGGAAAACAGTAGATAATTGGTAATTGGTTTCACATCCAGTGCTGCCCCGCCCTGATCTCCGCCAGAAAGAATCTAGACGGGGAGCATTCGGTTATTCGGTTATTTGGCTATTTGGTCACAGTCGGCGACCGAAAATTGATCTCGGGGCGTTAATTGAAGAAGGCATAATTTGCAGTGGAGCAACTCGACCAGATGAACAAATTCTTGAGCAACTTGTTGGCCAATTATCGCTGTAGGAATATGAGAGTGATCATTAGTGAGTGGATTCCAATGCCTTTCAAGGAGACTCAGTCAAGTGGGTCACTCATGAAGTCATGGGATTTTTTTATAGAGCGATCATCGAAGAGAAAAAATGAAACATAACATTTAATAAAAAGAAAATTGAAAATGTCGGTCTAATGAATCAATAATGTTATTTCTATGGTGTCTAATTTATTTTAAATGTTTCTATTACATTTTATATTAGTATTTAGGTGGTTGAACATAAAAATAGAAGCTTGGCTTCATATTATGTACGGACTTAAAACTTCTTCTTTAAAAGTGCCATATCTGATCAGCCTAGATCTAACGGCAAGCAACCAAGTGACTTCTATCTGGAGTTCTTCTTTTTCAGATATTTTTTGCGGCTCAGAAAACCAGATCGCCAGCCAAAAGAAATCAGCAATCAGCGAGGTCAAAGAATGCCATCCAACCGCCCAACGGGCATGGCAAGTGGTTTTCCAGCAGCTTCAACCTTTCTAACCGTTTATGGCTGCAAGAAATGCTTTTTAATATGAGAGAATCAAGTAGCTTTTTTTTTTTTTTTGCCGAAGTATTTTGCAACAATCTCTTGCGGTTCGCGAGGCCCGGCAATTTTCCAGAGCAACCTTAACCAGGTCACTCACACCTCGCTGATTACAGAGTCGCCGGCTCCCGATGCACATGGATCCACCCACCTCATCGAGATTCCCCCAGAATCCCCTAGAATACCCAGCAACCCAGTAATCCAGTGTCCAGAGCATCTGAATCTGAGGCAGCCCGTCCAAATGAGCCAACACATTATGATAACGAGCATGGATAAAGCTGGGGAGCGGTGAAGCGGTGGAAACCTTGACTTTGCCCTGGATCGAAATGTGGAAATTCGGGAAACGCGATCCATAACGCCCTGGCTAAGCAACTGTTTATTATGTGCCAGTTGCGCAAATGGCCTTTGTTGCGCCCCAGTTACACGCCCCAAAACGGATCGAATCGGTACTGTATCCTCTCGGCTCGAATGTGATTCGGCACTCACAAAAATCTAGACCTTTTCAGAATTTGGTAATAATAAGAAGATATATTGACAAGCAAGATATCACTTTAATCGCCTTGACATAAAGTATATCTCATATTAACTTTAGTTCTCGAATTAGTATATTACATTATTTTGAGCTTATAACCTTATATTATATTAGAAACAGATAAATTTATCTTATGAGAATATTTGGTATTTAGAATAGTCGGGTTCTTTTTAAATAATTTCTAACAAATTCAGCTTTATCTACAAATAACATTTTTATTAAAGTGCTTCCTTGATTTTGAGCTTATTTTATAAATTCTTTTTTGGAAAGGATAATCTCTGCTTCTAGATTCTGATCTAGTTTTAGAGGATGAACAAATATTTTGTAGTGTGGGTGGAAAAGAGCATCAGTGGGCACATTAGGAGGGACCGTTAAATGCGACTTTCGAAAGGCAGGAAAAATGCCTGCCTAAACGGATGCAAATGTAGACACAAGCCAAAAGGGGAGTTGTCCGGGGGGAAGGGGTGGTGGGTGGTGGTGGTAGAGGGAGTAAGGGAGAGTAAGGGGGAGGGGGTAAGGGAGGGGTTCGTCTACAGTCGGCCACGTTAATGGCACAATTATGGCCAACGAAATCGGGCAAACGGAAGACGTGCAAAGCGCAGAGCAGCAAACAGAATCTAGCCGAAGGACATCACGCGTATCCCATTGATCCATGAAGACCCACATTGGCGGGCACTCGGCCAGGCTAACTCCGACTAACTGTAGTTCATAACTCGGCTGACTGATTGGGCAGACTTTTGGCTTTCGAATGCACTCACCACTCGAGTTGGTTCGCTACTAAATATTAAATAAGCATTTATGATTGCCATTAAATAAAAATGGCATAAACAATAATAAATAAAGTATAAAATAAAGTTTTATCATAGGAATGGTTTAAAAATAAAAGAAAAATATTTTTTAGTTTAAGTATGATTGGAATTAAAATTCTAAGAATTTTTTAAAGCTGTTCATTACCACAAAAAATCTAAAAAAAAGGAATGAAATGTGAACATCTGAATATTGTTTATTAGTAATGAGATTTTTGAATTGGTATAAGCTTTATACTAAAAATAAATATTTAAAGTTTATTAAGAGAATCATTTGTAATGTGTAAATGGGAATCAGAATATCTGTTGCTCAATTCGAAAAACATAATATTTCTTATTCCATTTCGATAATCAATTTAATATTCCCTGCTGATCACTGGGCGAGTGCATTGGGTGTTCGTTTTGGGGCGGATGATCCTCCTTTCCTGGCGATTTTGTGGCTACAAAACTGCGACCAGGGGGCAATCAGTCAGCAGATGTTTTCATTTCCTACTCCGGCATCGGCAGCGGGAAAACTAAAAAACTAAAAAAGCGAGAAAAAAAAGCGGCGAAATGCAGCCGAAGGTACTCAAGGCGCAGATGTTTGGCACAGTTTCGTGTAGCAAATTGCGCACAGTGGGCCCAGCGAACGCCCGCCACCCCCTCGGGCGCCCATTCCCGCCCTCGCCCCCGCCCCCACCCCCTTTTTCAGCCACGACTGCCACTGATGGAATCAAATATTGTGCAAACTACAAGAGGCATCCGAGGGGCATCGAACGTTCAACGGGATGTTGAATGTAAGTCAGACGAGTCAGCTCCGCATTTGTATCTGTATCTTAAAGTCGCTCGCTTCAGTCGCTGCAGCTTTACAGCTCTGCAGTTTGGCGAGCTGGCTGCTTTGATAGTTTTTTTTTTTTTTTTTTTTTTTTTTTTTGGGAGCTGAAGAGCTTGTGTCATG